AAAGCGGGGTATGATCAGGTTTCAACTTCATGATCCTGTCTGATGTCCTTTTATTAGGATTCAGCTTTTTCATCCTCCTGTCTACTTCTTCTACTGATGGATTAAGAAGTGATTCTCCAGCGATCAAGCTTTCAATCTCATCGAGGGTTGGGTTGCTAGGCCATTTGGGACCATCAGAGAGCGAGTCTGCATTATTCCACAATCCAAACTTCCCCCAAACAACTGAGGCAGTTAATTAGACTGTCCTTTTCGTTTGCTTCCTCGTCTACGTCCCAGTCGTAAGCAATTGGAACATTATTAGGATTCAGCTTTTTCATTCTCCTGTCTTATTCCTCTAGTGATGGATTCAGAAGTGATTCTCCGACGATCAAACGATCAATCTCATCAAGGGTAGGGTTACTAGGCCATTCTGGAAGCTCAGAAAGGTATTCAGACTTCCTGTACCAAATGAGGCAGTTGAGACTGTCCTTCTCAGTTGCTTCTTCATATCTACGTCCCAGTTGCAAGGAAGTCCAATCCAATCCAAAAGACATTTGATATAGCGCCTTTTCCTTGAGGTTACAAAGTATTGCACACACGCTCCACAATGTTTGGGCCACTTAAAAACAAGAGTTAGTCACTTCTCAGAGATCAGTCAGGTATGTAGGCTGATACTAAAGAAATTTCTAGAAGAAAAGATAGAACATAATTAGGACTCAGCTTTTACATCCTCCTGTCTAATTCCTCTAAATTGATGGATAAAGGGTGGATTTCCAGCGATCAAGCGATCAAGCGACCAAACTCATCATTGGTAGGGTTGCTATGCCATTCTGGACCTTCATAAAGTGAGTCCGTTTTCATACCATATCATTTGTTCTTCCTCATCGTCCCAGTCATCAGGAGGCACAAGATTGGCATTCAACTTCTTGAGTCCTGTGTTGCAGTTCAGCATCTTCCAAAGATCAGCTTGAAGGGTCCGCCGAATCCCTTTGTTCATTTGGTTGGTGTGACTTCTTGAAGAGTTTAGAGATACCCCTGGCGCGTTTCATGAAGGAGCGAGGAGTGGCCTGTCTCTTCTCCTTCCGGACGCCATTGGAATTGAACTGCTCAATGCTGCGGTCGACGATCTCATAAAAATATTCTTCAGGCAGATCGTCCTCAAAATCTGTCAGCAAAGGCGACAGCTCAGGCGCGAATTTTCGCTCGGCTCTCTTCCTTAATGGTAAAGACCAGTATTGGAAACGCCCCAATTTCAAAAAATGAAATGGAAGCTCTTATTACCAATCATGTGAAAGAATATGTTTTGAATATTACATGATGATAAAAATTTTGACGGGAAACCGCCTACTAATTGATATATTTGGTAAATTAGTGTATCTCTCGCCTGTTGAGAGATATGAAATGCACGTGTCGTGAACGTGTGTGTATTCCCATATACATCTTTCTGTGTACAGTGCTTCTAACTTTATAAAGACTTGGCCAAATTTCTTATCATTTTGATAATTCTAGAACCTTGCAGTACATCTATGCTAGATGATCAACCTTTTCTAATCGATTTCACAACGTTTAATTCACAATGCAATCGCATGACCATAACTGGTATTTAGCTTTAAAATAAGTTCAACCAACCTTAACATGGCTGATAACTGAATTAATAAGATAAAGCTTGCTTCGATAGAAATCGAGATACAAACTGAGGTTCGTACGCGTAAACATAAACGTGGTAAATAATGACGCTAGATCGATTTATGACGTAAACAATCGCAGCGCGCATATCTACGCGCATGCGTACTAAGTTAAGTGACATGAAGTACTTTGATTGCGCGTAATCGCTGATTTTACAAATGCCTTTCATCAACCATCAACATTCATTTTCTTAGACACTTAATATTCTGTTTAAAATATTTGTAATTATGATGAACAAGCTAATAGAAATAACAAAAAGGATGCTATAATTATGCATATAAACACCAATCAAACATTAAATGAAAGTATGATTCAATATGAAGGAAAAAAAACATGAAAATGACCAATCACAACATATCTTGGAATCACTCTCTCTCTCTCTCTCTCTATCTATCTATCCCGGTATCTATCTCTCTCTTTGAATTTCCAAAATAATCTAATGACCCCTCCCCACCACCACCGTCAACTCGGGCCTCTCCAAACACATGGGGGGGGGGGTAGGGAGGGAGGTTGTCGGACTAACATACATGTACTACCTGGACGATTTTCCAACACGATTAAAGGTCCCTAGATTTTAATTTTGCGGACAAAATAGTTTTTTAAAAGATCATCGATGTTTGAGATTGCTGATAGCCTATAAGAATTCATAATTTTCCAACAATTTTTTTTAAATCGGTGTAGTCACCCCCTCCTCACTCTGCCCCCTCCACCCCCCCCCCCCCCCCAGCCACAACACCCAAAACGTCCATTCCATCCCTGGCGCTAGGTAATCATCTTCATCTGGGTCGATCTCTGTATCTTCTTTCACATACACATGGCATTCATAATAAATACGTTATAGACAAGATCTCAGCAGCAAAGTTGGGGCGGATGGCTAGGGGGTAGATACACTAAATTCCTTCATTTGCACGAGAATGCAAATATAGTCTTCCTTTACTTGTACATTTTAATGCATTTAGAATGATATATGGAAATATACTGTTAGGCAAAGGCGTGAAAGACAGCATAAATTGTTATACAAAGTATACTTTCATAATTTTGCTAGACCCTGTAGTCCCTATCTTTTTCCTGTAGGATTTTCGGGTTATTTTCCCCGCATCGTCCATGCAACATAGGGAAGGGGAAGGTGAAGGTAGACAATCCCCCCTCCACTCGCTACAACTCTGTCCTGTAAATAACCAGGGATTGGTATCATCATCATCATTAGTTTTACTTACTTCTTGAAATGGCATTAGCGTAGGTATCTAACAGGGGCAACCCCTGTCGTCTTTTAAAAAAAGAAAAGCATTTTGACTTCCTCATACTTAAGTGTAAGTTGATACAAGTAGATGAGTTCCTTTAGAGCTCTTGACATTGTAAGCGTTTTTTGCGGTGCTAATTTTTTTTAATGATTTTTTTTTTTAGTACTATCTGATTATCATCAATATCTCCCTTATCTCCATTGATTTCTTTTAAGATTTATACCTCCTCTTATCTGTTTCCCTTATTTTTTAATCCGCCCCCTTCTGTCTGTCTCTCTCTCTCTCTCTCTCTCTCTCTCGCTCTCTCTCTCTCTTTAATTCTCTCTATTTCTCTTTCTCTCTGTCTCTCTCCATCTTCATTTCTCTCTCTTTCTCTCTCCAACACTCTCCCTCTCTCTTTCTCTTTCTCTAACTCTTTCTCTCTCTCTCTCTCTCTCACTCTCTTTAGTATTATATTTTAAAACGGGCTCCTTTTCACCGTTTCTGTTTAGAAGACTCTTACAGGAATTACAACAATGTTTTACATTTTCATTTGTATTAATACCAATTTACCGTTTTGTATTTTTTGAAAAGATGAATTATAAATGGAAAGTGAAAAAGAATTTAAAAATCACTAATAGACGAAGAAGTATCCAAGAAATATAATTTTTTATTCAAGAATTCGAAGACAAAATAATGTGTGATCTTGGAAGATCAGGCGATTATTCTCATTTACTGTAGTTTGTAGGCGTACATAATTATGAACGATCTTAGACTTAGGGGTGATCCATACTCTAACCACTTGGTCGGACCTCTCTTTAGGAAAATCAATGATTGGTGAACATTTCAGTGGGGGGGGGGGGGGGGGGGGTTGGCCCAATGACGATGCGGATGTTGTGTGGGTCTGAACACATGATGGCGTTTTCTATGCCCATCACCTTTTCACTTTATAGCAGCCAAAGGGGGGGTAACCCCCCCCCCCCCCCACCCCCGTTGATCCGCCGCTGACACAAACTTGTGAACCAGATTCATATATTGCTTTAGCCCAAACCTGGTACAAGAGGATTTTAACAATAGTTTTTTGAAAAGCCTGCCGCTCAGTCATCCGTGGCAGCACAGTTATAAATGTGGTATCATCAGGCAGGAATTTAGTTACCCTTTACCATGAAAAATGATTCAAGGTCAGATAATTTATAACTTGTCAAATAGAAGCTACCAAAGTTGGATACATTTTTTATACGCACTGTACACATACTATAGAAACACGGTCATTGGCACTCCTGTGTGCATGTACATTGAGTCATGAGCGGTGTGTTTGCAGAGGGGGGCGACCTAACGTCAGACAAACTAAATGTTTACAATTGTATGCAAATGAAAATATGTAATCACGAAATGAAAGTAAATATTGGCATTGTACCGAGAGGCAGCTGAATATGAATAACGAAAGCTTGCACAATGACGATTAAAATGCTGAGTTCATTCAAAAACTATGCCGCAAGGAAATTTTTCAAATCGTTTTCATCTCAAATCAGCGGTTTGGTTCTCATGTCTCTTTGTCTTTAGATTTTTTATATTTTTAACTGCAGTAATTCTCCAATCTACAAAACTATACTCAAATATTAAGACAAGTTTAATTGAATGCTTCTGCAACATTTGGACAATAACAAAATAACACAAACTGTTAATGGTAATGAAAATGAAAATTTGTAGATGTTATGTCTCACACAGAAAAATAATATAAATAAACGGGAATTGTAAAAACATAGTGATGAATGTTGAATTTTGCACGCCTCTACGGGAAATACATGTACTGGCGTGTCATAAAAAATACATAAAAAACACGTTCATTTTAATTTCTGTTGTAATAACCTTTAAATAACGTTTCAAATGTTCAACTAAAAACGATATGCACAAGTCTATTTTCATACTGAATGTAGTCATAATGCAAATGTTTGTTATTCATATTCAACTTTTCGTTATTTGACGATATTCAATGTTATTCCTCAACTCCGTTCTTAAACTACGATACCGTCTTTGTTTGGTTTCATCGGCAATCGATCTTAAAGGTTGACAGTCAGCAAACATTAACAACGCAAAGTAGAACATAATTACGTGTAGCTCACATCGCCCATGTTACTAACAACTACCACAGCAAAGGAATATGATGACGGTTATCAGTGCGGATTAAAAGACGTAAAAAAGCTTCAAGGGAGCTTCTTCATTAAAAAATATTCTTATTTGTTTCGTATTAGAGGTTTCTGTTTTATTCAAATACGTCTTTGCATCACGCCCCACATCTAACCATGCGGATGCTTGGACCGTTAATGATGTTGGCTTTTATGATGGCCGCCATTTCTAGCTGCATAGTTTCTGCGGAGACCACTGAACGTAAGTTGCATTTAGGTGTATTCGTATTATTAAGATTAAGGATATATATCATTGCTTGAGGGTGTTTAATAGCATACAGGAGATATAGCAGATAGGGTGTTAGCATAATTTATTTTCTATGTTTATATCTATGTGTAATCTTTGTAGCCCATGAGACAAAATATGCCGAAGCCTATATCCAAATATACTCATTATATTCATTAATGTTCAGGTATCTAAAAGAAGAGAATAAAAAGGGGGAATTAATTTGTTCTGACTTCCTGCAATTGAAAGGATTTTTCCATCTGTTTATGTAAAGGGCCATGAATTAAGACTAAGAGAATACATGAACCTGATGCTATTTTGTCTCGACCTGCTACGCAGGCTCGAACTAGTGGTAAAAAAACGCTATATACCAAGACTATTTCCAGCGACATTTTGCATAAATTATGAAAGCATTCTTCTCAAATTCACTGCCTCCCTGCTATTAAAAATGCAAGGTTTTCCATTTATACTATAATGGTCCATGTTGTCTTTACATTTCTTTTAACATGTTGATGGTTTATTCGTATATCATGTCAATTTATATGTAATATTTTTATGTTTTTTTTAATCTGCTGTGATACTCCATCTTTTATCTGTATATAATGAGATAATGATGTGAATTAATTTCAATTCAGTTCTAATTCAGTTCAATTCACATTCAAATTCAATTCATCTGTTTTAAAGCATGCTTTATTGTAGGGGTTTGTATAGTTCTGGAAGTGAAAAGCGATGAAACATTTTGAAAGAGAGGAAAAACAAAGAACTAAAGAGAGAAAGGGAGGTGAGAGGAATCTGCAGTTTGGTTGGCATGTTCTTACTTGTACTGCTTCATGGAGACAATGACACTCGCTATATTAAATGCAATAATAATAATAATATAAATAACAACAACAACAAATAATAATAATACTTATACTAATACTAACAGTAATTGTTCCACCAATCTCCAGAAATATCGGCGTTCCGTATAGAATCAAGTGTTTTGTTTCTGATAGAATATTACTTATGCTTTATAATATTCTAATTGTACCAATATCTCCTATTGTAATATTGTGTGGGCAACATACAAGTGTGTGACAAATGATATTCTTCAGCTGCAAAAGAAAGCTGTACGCAAATGTACCCGGGCCGTTTACCGTGACCATGCTCCCCCACTTTTTGTTAAACTAAAATGCTTAAAGGTATAAACCAGTTGTTACAACGCCCACCTCTCAAAAAATGAAATGGAAGCTCGTATTACCAATCATGTTAAAGAATAGGTTTTGACTAATACGTGATGATACAAATTTTGCCGGGGAAACCGCCTACTAATTGATATATTTGGTAAATTATTATATCTATCCGGACCGGATAGATATCGCGCACGTGTCGCGTAGTCCCGTATACATCTTTCTGTGTACAGTGCTTGTAACTTTTCCAAGACTGGGCCAAATTTCTTATTATTTTGATGATTCCAGAACTTTGAAGTACACACCAAAACTTATATGCTAGATGATCAACCCTTTCTGATCGATTCCACAACGTTTCTTTCATAATGCAATCGCATGACCAGAACTGGTCTTTACCTTTAAAAGTTATAGATATAAAGTTTCTCCAAATAGCCATATTTATGTTCCGTTTAAACATCAAATTGTTACCTACTTCATTATCTTCAATGTTCCAACCTAATGACATGGTTCACTCATATTCAACGAGTCATCGAATTTACATGTTGCCAGTCCTCACACTACATTAGCCCAGAATCAATCAGACATAGGGGTCCAGATGTATTGAATTCTCTACCTTACAATATTCGAAAAATAAAATCACCAAACAGCTTTAAAAAGCACTCGAATGTATTATCATTTCACCGATGTAAGATATTACTTACATAAATATAAACCTATATATCAGTTCTCATTATATCGAACAAAATTTGTAATTCTTTTATGATCTATAAGACATTGATGCGATTGCTCATGATGTTTAAAATGATATCAAAAACAATACAATAATGCTAATCATAACAATAAAAATAATAGTGATGATAATAATTTTTAAAAAATAATAATAATAATAATTCAAAACTAGTAATATTAACAATATTAACAATAATGATATGAATTATGATAGTAATACAAATAATAGACTTTATTCCTAAAAGCGCAAATCACCGCTATTAAGGCCGGCTCACAATATGATGGATAGTGGGGGGGGGGGAGGTACCGCAAGCTACGTTAAGCTGCGATTTGCAATAATGAATTTCCCGCCAATCATCGTGTGTTGCCTTTGATTGTCGCTGACGAATCCGCTAGCGACCGCAGACGGCAGAAATTATCAGACGCGTCCGTCGGCAAATTTGCAGCATGTTGAACATTTTGTGGCGGCAAAAAAAAATCGTTGTGATTCCGTTCAGATTCCGTTGGAGGTCGCAACCCTCATTTCCTTGGAATGTCCATGCCGGTAGATAGTACTACCAGGCACGTAGCCACGAGGGGGGGGGGGGGCACGTGCCCCCCAAAAATTCCAAAATAGATTGAATATTTTTGTTAACCCCTTTTTTTTTACCTCGATCGATGACGTGTATGTCCCCCCCCCCCCCCCCCCCCCCCCCGTGGCTACGTGCCTAGTAGTACTATCTACCGGCATGGAAACATCAAACTCTGGCTACGTGCCTGAGTACTACACTCCGAACAGGCAACGAACTTTTCTTCTCCTATCAATGATGGGCGAACTATCTTTCATCACATGATTTACTTTTGACCAATCGTAGAGCAAGATTCTTTGTATGTGGAATATAATACACAGTGCAACGCACTTTCACGGTAGATAATACACAGTACATCCAAGATAGTACACAGTGTAACGAACTATTTTTCATCACGTAACTAACTTTTGACCAATCATAGAGCAATATTCTTAGTATGTAGAATATAAATCTCGCCTTAACATCGGGAAGATAGAAGCCCCGAGATAACCTCTGCGACGTTATTTTGTCCTATCGCCCGCGTAGTCGGTAGGCCTAATCATTTTGCTTTACTATAACCATAATTACTCACTTGTGAAGTGGAAGGAACTAATAAATTAACTGCATTTCATTATAAAAAATTTCCCTCCCAAATGCAGCTCCTGAGAAAGTTAGATTGGAGGGAGGCTCAAGAAGTTCCGAGGGACGTGTTGAGGTCTTCCTTGATAGCCAATGGGGTACGGTGTGCAACAACCTGTGGACACTCCGCGAAGCAAACGTGGTCTGCATGCAGTTGGGGTATGTCGGGGCCGACAACGTTTTCTACGATGGGAATAAGTTCGGCGAGGGAGTTGGAGATATCTTGCTTAATATGGTGCAGTGCGAAGGGACCGAGCAGGATCTACTTGATTGCCCGCAAGGTGTGACCGCTGGACCACCGTGTGATCATTCTGAAGATGTGGGAGTTGAATGCACCACGACAAGTTAGTCACCTCCTTTCAAACTTGAATTAAAAAATAGTATGAATCATAGTGAGGGATGACCATTGTATATCCCTGATTACTTTGTTAGTGTGTGTTTTTTTTAAATATTTTGGATCTTATCCACCTCGATTCAGATGAAACTCACATGTCGAGAAAATAGATACCTTATGAAAGTACTCGTCATTCACTGAGTGGCAGCGACTCCATTACTTAATTGCAACCTCTTACTTTTTCTTTTATATTTATATTCAACAAAACAGATAAGCAGACATTTTCTTTCCGTATTTATTAAGAAACATTACGGTAGGCATGGAATGATTTCAAAAGGGAAAAAATATAGAATTAGAGTTATCTAGACTTACATAACAGGCGTATCGTAACAATTGAAATCTTAGCGGAATGATAGCTTCCATCAAACGATTGTTTATTTAATATGCAACAAGATCTCTATGCACTGCTTTGGTTTTGCCTCATTCTCCGGCGTGTACCATTATATGCCCCACATCAGGACGCCATATTTGGGTTTGTCCGTGACATGTTCTCCCCCCCCCCCCCCCCCCCCCCCCCCCCCCCTGGTTGAATCATCCGTTGCAACTGCTTTCGCGTGATGGCCGCGGGGGTTTTATCACATTATTGTTTAACATTTTAGCGTTGTTCAGAATACTGCTCAAATCTAAATTTCATCACCGATACATACTTATCATATATTTCGGATTCTATAAAGATACAGCAGACGGTGAGTCCAGTTGCCAAGGCAGCGTGTCAAATGATTCTCGAATGGAATGTTTAATCTTCGTTTTATATCAATGATTTATGTTAAGATTCTATAAGGCTAGCTGACGGTGCATCCTATCGGGAAGGAAGACTTGAGATGCTGGATGAAAATGGTCAATGGGGTACGGTCTGCGCTCAGGATTGGAATCTTGAGGACACTAGTGTTGCTTGCAGACAGCTAGATCGTATGGATGAAAACCTTGTTGACTTGGATTGGTTTACAGCAGCTCCCGGATCAGGTCCAATTGTGACAGGGGGTCTACAATGTGAAGGAGATGAAAACAGACTGGACAACTGCACACAGGCAGCCGATTGGACACCTGAAAGTTGTGATCCGAGCATGCATGGTCAGGACATCGGTGTTAGCTGTAACCCAAGTGAGATCAGATACATGAAAATACCACTCTACCACGACATTCATTTGCTTCCACATTTTTCTGTTATTCTGTACATTTCCGTGACAGAAACAATTAAAAGAGCAGATGAACTCTCTAAATACTTTAACTACATTTTGAGAGAGAATTTAACACGTTCGTAATTTCCTGGGGGAGAATTCATTCCAAGGGCAATTGTAATACCTTATTTCCTATCCCATTGATTTCATGTTCGAATTGTAAGCGATGGTCACACATTTCAATAGTTGTTTGACAAAGGTATTGGAATTAACTTAGGTTGAAGTTTTAGACAATATTTGCGATCGTGCTAAAACCCACATTACACGATTTGAGTTAAACAGATTCAAAGACTTTTCTTCCCACTAACTGATATACAGTGTGACGTAGAAAAAACGAAACCGAGAATTATCGATGTTTTATCATAACTTAATCACATTTATGATTAATAAATGACACATATTTGGAGAGCTGAATCCTCCTCTTTCGTCTACGGCTGATTGTCAACGAAACGAAACGATATTGCTCTTAGTCGCTTGAAGTTAGGGACACGTTTAATGATGAGAGGAAAAGGAGACACTTATCGAAGGAATAAGACACTTATTAGAAAATAAAAGGAACACGTTTCAAAGTACAAAGGGTTATTATCAGAGGTGAAAATGGGGCACTCACTAGGGATGAAAAGGCACTTATGAGAATGGAAATTGGGCATTTGTCGACGGAAAAAAGGCAACCATTAGATTTTGATAGGGGCATTTTTGAAAAAGGGATAGGTTCCTCATAAGAAAGGAAAAGGAGCACGTATCATTGTTAAAAAGGTTAACTTTATCAGAGGCACTTATCGCATCTGAAAAGTGGCACACACCATATATGAAAGAGGCACTTATGATAATGAAAAAGGGGCACTAATAATAAGGGGAAATGTGCATTTGTTGAAAGAAAAGGAGCACCGATCAGATTTTGATAAGGGCATTTATTGGAGGTGAAAGGGGGCTTTTATGAAAAGCGGATATTATGAAGGAAAAAGAGCATTTATTAGGAAGGAAAAGGGGCACTTGTCAAAATAAAAGGGGGTGTTCTTAGAGATGAAAAGAGCACTTATCAGGAGAAAAGGGGGGGCACTTGTCAAAATAAAACGAGTGTCTCTCATAACTGAATAGGGTCATTTACCAGACATGAAAAGTGGCACTAGTAGGAGAATGAAAAAGGACTATTTTCATAGGTGAAAAGGGGCATTTATGAAAAGGCGAAGGGCTCTTTGTTAAATGGGGGCACTTATCATGAGGAAAAGGGGCACTTATTAGAAAGGAAAGGGGACACATGTGAACATATAAGGTGTGCTTATCCGAGTTAAAAGAGGTAGTTATTAAAAGGTAAAGGGGTACTTCTTACAAAGGAAAAAGGGCAATTGTCAAAGTAAAAGGGGCACCACTGAGATTTGAATAGGGCAATTATAAGAGGTGACGGAGGCGCTTAACAAAAGTGAAAAGAGGCGCCTCTCGTACCCGAAAAGGGGCACCTACTAGAGATTAAAAAAGGCACTTATGAGAATGGAAATAGACACTTATTGCAAAGGAAACTGGGAACTTGTCAGGGAAAAGAGGTAGGCCCTACGTGTCAAAATAAAATAGGCACATATCAGAGGTGGAAAGGGGAGGGGCACTTTAAAAAATTAATAAGGGCACATATCAAAGTAATAGGGGCACTTTTTTATGTAAAAGGGGGCGCTTCTTACAAAGTTAAAGGGGCACTTTTTGGGTACTTGAAAAAGTGGGGGGCACTGTGTCCCCCCCCCCCCGGGTCCGCCGCCTCTGTACGGAAGGCAGCAAGTGAAAACGAATTCGTTTAATAAAATCATGAAAATGCAAGCACTACTTTAAAGAAACATAACTTTGTTATTCCTAACACAATTTTCTTGATTGAGGTGTCATATGAAAGGGCAGAAACTCAACTTTCTGGAAATGTGATTTTCTCTTTGAAATTAAGATACCGTCCGCCAAATGACTTTTTTTGTTTCTTCTCTTCAAATTCATTTTAATCACTCGTGCGTGAAATGTGCATCATATGAGTTGCATCAAACGAAAGAGGAGGATCTAGGCTTTCTAAATATATGCCATTTATTAATTATAAATGTGACTAAGTTATGATAAAACATCGATAATTCTCGGTTTCGTTTTTTTCTGGGTCGCATTGTATAATTATTACCCTCTTCAGCAAGGTCAGTTACATGGGCGCAGTCCATTGTTACAGGAAATCCACGTCATGAGACGCAATTCATGTGAGGATAGCTATCAGAACGAAGCCATTTATGCCTTTGGTTACTCTGGCAGTCCTCATCATCTGTTCCGAGTTAGAGGTTTAACGTTTTTCTATTTAATCTCATCACGTACGTTTTTACTTATGTGACGATGTATATTCTCAATATATAGTAAGTTAAAAATGTTCTTTTTATCCTAACCTTTTGGGGCTTTAGGTATCACGTTATTTCCAGATGGCCTCGTCATCCTTTTCCACGGGGGAGCCTACGGAACAATCTGCCCTGGTGATAACTGGGACCAGAACGCAGCAAGTGTGGCTTGTCGGCATCTGGGACATAAGGGTGTGAAAGAAAGCATGAGAGTTGAATTCGACTATGACTTAAAAGTTATTATGAGTAACCCAAGGTGTTCTGGCGACGAAACCTTCTACACGGAATGCGATTCTGTCGAGTGGGCCTACCAAGGCGACTGTTCACCAGGAACTGGTGGTGCTGCAGTCATTTGCGACATTGAGGAACCAGGTGAAATAGTTCTCTCCACTCATGTCTCGAACGTTTCAATATTTCGAATAACAACAATAAACTAGGTTGGGGACGTTTGATGCATTTGCAAACTCTCAAAAGCCATTACGGAAGGTTGATAATCATTATCTTTTGAATAGGAACAAGCTTGTATCACGAGGCTTTGAAATCATCAGAAATGTAATACAGTTTGATTCAAACTTGCTGAAAGTGAAAAATACTTCACAGAAATATTGCTTTGTGGGACTGTAAAAACATCTAACATCAGAATTTGGTTCAAAGTCCCATAATGTTTTTAGTCATATTGAGAGTACGAGGACAAGAGCAATACATTTCATGTGACATTGCTAAAAAAAATCAAATGAGAGTAAATAATGAGAAAGCTCCCAAATAATTTGTCGTCTTTGTCAGAACTCAACCTTTTCTATAAAAGCAGGGATTATGTTGACGTCATCGATTAGTAGGCCAATGCTAAATGTAACTTATCTCACTGTCTCCCCATGTATTCTTCAGGCCAAACTAAAAATTGGACGTATCTCAGTTGGTACGGAATAATGGTTAAAGACAAGCTATAAATTTGTTTTCACAAATGGGGATCTCTCGTATAGCAACATACAGCTTCTTGTAAAATCAGTTCAGAGTTTTTTCCTTCTCTAAAAGTGTGTCCTTAAACTCCTAAAATTGTACATCAGACAATTAAAACATCTCGCGAAGTTTTTACGATAGATGAACAATCGTTCAGTATAAACGAGCTAGTTTGAAATGTGCATAATTTTACGTCTTTTTCATGGCGCAAACGAAATCTCAAAATTCAAAATAAAATAGAAAATATTCAATATGCCATTGGATACTATCATGCTGTCATTTATTCATACATTCTTTTTTACATATCTGGGGCAGAAATCAAGATCAGAAACGACTCTCCATATCCTGAAATCGGTAGAGTGGAAATCTCCTTAACCGACCCCTCTAAGTTTATGGCAATATGTAACTCCACTTGGGACATCGCAAAGGCCAATCTCATTTGCCGACAACTGGGTTACGCTGGAGGAGCTGTCCAAGTCTTCTCCGTCGGTGATGGTACGGATCAGGTGATAACTGATCTTGAATGCCCGGATGGTGCGGCCAGCCTAGCCGACTGCACGTTTGAAACGATGGAAGTGGAGAAAGCAGAGAACTGTGATATTGACCAAGTAGCTGGTGTCGTATGCTCGAGTAAGTCAGTTTACATGATTATGTTGTATATCAAAAGCCCACCGCATGCTTTGCGACGCCACGGATCCGATTTGCCAAGAAATCGCAATATTACATCAAATGTGGAGTTTCAACGGGTCTAATCTTTATACTGAGGTCCTAAACTGTGGTATGAACAATAAAAAGGTTATTTTAGTAAACTGGTATAGTAGTTCGTCTAGACGGAGTAAAGGACAGATTGGCTTTACATCGGGGGCAACCGCGGAACAGGTCTGACGTCACGATTCGGAAATGCTTTGGGTTTTTTTTCTATCACAAGGAAGCTAGCAGTACATCTGAAGTTCTATGTCAATACTCATGTGACTCAAATGAATCAATATTATATATGATTACATTTTTGCATCAAAATGCTCTTCCAAATTCTTCCAGATTCGTACACCAGCATGATTAGGGAGGGTTTGGGGTGTTGGCAACAGTTTGTTTTAACTCGTTGATCTTAAATAAGATGCATGTAAAAGGGCCCTTCGAACAATAGTAAACTTATAGTTGCCTCCTCCTGCCGCCATTTCACAATAAACTTTTAAATATTATCAATTTAATGCAGGTTCTGCTGAAGATAGTTTAGTACCGCTAGTCAGTGGTGGATCTACATCGGAAGGGGTCCTGGAGTACAAGATTTCGGGTCTACCAGCGCTTATATGCGATCCAGATTGGAGCGATAGAGAGGCTACGGTCGCATGTCGAATGCATGGATACGAGATGGGCAATGCTACCCAGGTGGTAAATCTGGCGCACTCAAAAGACAGGTACTAGAAAATCATTCATAACTAAATAAATGCCTAACTGCAATGACGATTCTGCGATATATATTTCTAAAGTGTACACGACCGGGGCAGATTCAGGATTTGGGTGAACATGTAAAGAGGATCGGGACGCAGTATCGGAGAAAATCTGTATAATAATTGAGTTTACTCAGGCGGGTCTCATCAGCCTGAATGCGCTCATCTTCCCGAGGACCTTGCAATTATCATTACCCCAGTAATTGCCTGGTACCCATTTACAACTGGGTGGACAGTGACAAATATGGATTAATGTCTTGCAAAAAGACGTAAGTGCCGGGTTGTGATTCGAAACCTAAACCCCTGGATTAAGAGTCAAGTGAAGGAAGCACTTTACCACGACACCTCCATGGGTCGAGAGAAGCAATTGATATAAAAGGCCGTGCTTGAGGATTTTATTGTCGAAGCGGGGCTTAAACACATGGCCATTTACTCCAAGTCACGTGAATAAAACTCTAGACTAAGACGCTTCTACCTATTCCATAACCATGTTGGTGTTTTGTTATTACAAGTTAATTTGGCGCCTTACAAGTCTAACATATAATTATTAGTATCATTTAAACATTGTTAATATTCTTATCATTATCATTGTTTAAACATATTTGTGGCTTACACCCAGTTTACTGGGTGTAAGCCACACATATGTTTAAATAATAAAAATTTCTCCCAGGAAGCAGTACATTTATGAAAATTATCATTGTTGTTGTTATTGTTGTTTTGTTATTATTTGTTATCATTATTACTATTATTGTCATCATCATCACCATCATCATTCAATAATGACATCATTCTGTTTATCTTTCTCTAAAGTTTTCCGTACAGTTTTCAGAAATATAACTTCACGTGCCTGGGATCTGAAGCCTCGTTGGCAGACTGTCAGATGGAGGCTATCGAATCTGTCGAGGAATGCAGTCCAGATGACATAGTCCAGGTCACATGTCAACCTTACAAAGGTAAACTCCTACTGCTACTACTTATAGCAGTTGTAAAAGTCATACTATTAATCGATAATAATAATAAGGATGATATTAATCGATAATAATAATAATAATGATAAAAATGTTACTAATGATGATAATAATAATAATAATGATCATAATAAAAATAACAGCTACCTTCATGATGCGCTAAAATTCATCCCAGGAAACTTAGGTTTAGCCCAGCTGCCATTGGGCACTATAAGCATTCAAGGTATAATTCCTACCAGGTACCCATTTATTACATCTGGAGAAGTGGAGAGTGGCTAATGCAAAAAATCTAATATGTTGCTTAAAAAAAGACATTTATGGCTGCGGCGTGACTCGACCCGAGGACTATGTGATCAACGGTCCGGCGACGTATCCAATAGACCACGACACCTGTTTAACTGCTAAATACACGCATTTCCCTTTCTTGGTTAAGGTGGGGGGGGGGGGCATCATAGAGGATAGATATGGTACAATGGTTGCAAATAATGGAGCTTGCCTATCAGTTTTATCACATTTTATATTACCTGTTTATGGACCAAAAATTAGTTTATGCAAAAACTTTTATCTGTCTTTGTAATGTTTATAAAGTAATGTATGTCAAGGGTCCATAGCAAAATAAAATGTCTAACTCATAGGCATGGATAGGCTGGATATATGAACTGCCAAAGAAAACTCATTTGATAAGTCTTTTCCTGCCCTATAAAATTGCCTCTAAACTATGCTATAAATATTGTAAAAGACTTTCCACTTTATAACATATAAATTATAATATTTACAACTAACATTCATTTGATTTAACATTCTCAAGACGCACTGGCGCAAAATATGAAACTATATCAAATGCTTTCATTCGTCAAAAACAAAATTTCCTGAAATAGAAAACCAAACTTCCTCGATTTTGATAGAATTTCCTTATATCTTTCAAAATGCCTCTTACATGCATAATTTGCTCATTTTTCTTTCATGAATTGCTTAGGAAGACAAAGCAAAAAACGTCTTTTATCGTCCCAGAATATCAACTTTCATCTTTAAAGTTTGCAAGCGAGCGAATTATGCAAGTAAAAATTTGCACTTGCTTCATGAGGAAATGGATAAACTATACCTAAACAAAATGATGAAAGACAACATTTTTGTTTTTCAGTATTTCCTTAAATTCCTTTTGATTTTCTTTAATGTTTCTTCAATTTCATTTGAATTTCCTTGAACTTTTGACTTTCCTAAACAAATCCTTATTTTAGGGAAAATAATAAATTTGTAAGGTGTCAACAAAATCAAAAATGGAAGCCCTTGTACAGACGCATTTCATTATAGACACATTTATCTGTTTTATCGACTTTCAGACTTGGATTTACGCTTGGTAGGGAGCCCAGCCTCGGAACAGGGTAGGGTGGAGGTCTTTCTAGGAGGAGAATGGGCATCTTTAACATTTATAATTTCGTATCATCGTGTCATCAGGGATCGTTTGTGTCAGCTACTAGGGTATAAGGAATACAACACAGGCATAGCTGCAGCTGGCGATGAAGATCCGTTTGGCGCAGGAACAGGGAAAGTTTTGAATTGTTCTTTGACATTTCCCGACGGTTGTGAAGACGTGCTGACAGAGGTTTCTGACAGTGAGCCTCGCAATGATGTAGGCGTAGTCTGCACACCCTATGGTAAATACTTCGACATAATCTTAAGTATAGGGCGTTGCAATCACGTTTTGAAAGTGCGACCTACAACGTGTTTTCAACCCACGCCCAATATCATTTTCTTGGAAAACATTATTCATGCATTACTATAGGCCAATACGGTTGCCCCTAGAGGCTGTGGGAGGAACTTGGATACCCTGAGATCAAGCTGGGATTTTGGAGAAAAAAAAGAAAAGAAACTTTCTTAGACGTTGTAATGTAATTAGCAAAGAGACAATATCCAGTCTTATACAATAACTTTGTAAGGATTACGTTTCTATCAAAAACTCTTATTACCATTGCTTCTTTACTGGTATGAGCATTGTGTGATTTCATTACTGTGATCAACCGAATTCAATAAAAACCTTAAATATATATATATATCTGAATATATATATTATAAATATAATGAACAAAAAACAAAAAGGTAGCTAAACGGCTTGGAAATATGAAAGTGCAAAGATCTCTTATCCAGTTTCCTTATTTTTCTAAAGATAGCAAACAAAATGTAAAGCATATCACTTTGTTTTAAAGGTGGGTACGTGGGTCACTGAGCTTTATCTCACTTTTTTAATTTTTTCCCCAGGTACGGTTGAAAACCACCCGGTAAGGCTGGTTTCCGAGACAGGAGTTGCAAATAATGAAACAGGACGAGTTGAGATATTACACGATGGTGAATGGGGTGCAGTCTGTGGGACAAGACCTGTCACCTATAACGGTGTTCACAGGGTATGTATACCATTTCGGGAGTAGGGGATTTCGAACCAACCTTGACAATTTAGTTAATTAAGAGTAATACAAAGTTGCTCATGAGGACTGAAAAGGTTGAGGTCAGATTTTGAAATTTGTCGAGAGCGACACGCAGAGATTTGTCACACGTCAGCAATTTTTGCTAATCACCGAAGTCGACATGGCTCTCATAAAATCTGAATGGAATGTACGTCACAAATAATCCGACATCCCCCATAGAAAGGCTTTAGTGGAATTGAAGGGTAGTAAGTTTAAAATAGGTCTTTAGTGAAACCGTTGTTTGCAGAACGGTTTTGCAGTAATATTTATTTTTAAAGATCTTGCCTTGAAAAATAGATAATATAATGAGGCAGAGTAGGTTTAGGAGGGAGACTCGAAAATACAAAATGAATTAATTATAACCACTATTATATGTACAGCTTGATTTTGACAATAGAAAATTCGATATAAAAATTATACACTGTCGCTCATATAGGTGGAATATTTTTGTTTTACCCCAATTTACGGAATTATTTAAAAAATAATTTAAAAATAGTAGATCTAGATAATAGTATACATTCTCAGATTTTATTGATTAATAATTTGCCAATGTGTGTTTTGGGTGACTGCTAAATCATGGGTATGCTACTATGCTTATCAATTAGGGGACCTACGCCCTTAAGTCATAAATGACAGTAATGGGGATTAATGCCCCACAAAAGGGCGCTAATATTGCACATCGACACGGTTTTTATCCTAGGGCCTCACAGTTACGAGGCCATTGCTTTGTCACTGAACCATGACTGTACGCAGCGGGGGCTAGGGTAGGGGGCAGTTTCCATAAATACAAAAAACAAAGAAAATGCAATAAATTTTTAAAAATTTATTGCATTTTACCCCGGTTCCCAACATAAAAAATCCTCTGTGTGCCCATGCCTTGAGCCACAATGCATGGCCGTCCAGAGGATTTTTGTTATGTTGGGGACCGGGTTAAAATGCAATAAATTATTGAAAATTTATTGCATTTTTTTTTTTTTTAAATTTATGGAAACTGCCCCCTACCCTAGCCCCCGCTGCGTACAGTCATGGTTCAGTGACAAAGCAATGGCCTCGTAGCTGTGAGACCCAAAGATCAAAACCGTTGTCGATGTGCTATATTAGTGCCCTTTTGTGGGGCATTAATCCTCATTACTGTCATTTATGACTTAAGGGCGTAGGTCCCCTAATTGATAAGCATAGTAACATACCCATGCTTTAGCAGTCACCCAAAACACACATTGGCAAATTATTGATCAATAAAATCTGAGAATGTATACTATTATCTAGATCTATTATTTTTAAAATATTTTTAAAATATTTCCGTAAATTGGGGTAAAACAAAAATATTCCACCTATATGAGCGACAGTGTATTTCAATATATATTAAAGGGTTAAGGGATTTACCTTTTAATATAATTTCAAGCTGAACAAGATCATTCTAAATGTTCTATTTGTTTTGACATTCAACGTATTATCGTAGGTTTCGTTGAACTCTGATCATCCAGAAGGGAAATAACAAAGTTCCAAATGACGTCATGGGTGAGTTCCATGTCCAATACTAAATATAACCTGATGTTGTCCACATATAGGTTGTTTGCAGAGAGCTGGGTTACACTGACTTGCAGTATGCAAATCGTCTTACCGGAGCAGACCAGGATCCATTTCTAAATGGAAGCGAAAAAATCTGGCTCTCCATTGACTACTGTACTACTTCTAGACTTTACACGTGTGACCACGGGCCGTGGGGACAGCACCCCGACGACTGTACACCGTCGGTGGTTACCTGTGTTCGAGCTGATGACGATGACGATGACGATGATGATGACGATAATTCAGGTGTGTGAGAATGGGTTTGTATGAAAGTCAAACATCTTAATTATCTAGAGATGATTTCTGTTTAGGCCTACGTTTCAATTTCATACGTTTGAGATTCTCCAATAATGATGAAGACAGATTTTCAAGAGGAAACTGGAATTGTTTGAGAGCAACTTTTGAGCAGTAGACGTATTTTCTCAACGATATTTGAAACAATGACATCTTTCAACTTCATCCGACTCTCGATCATTAATTGAGCGCGTGACAATTATCAAACAATCTGAAAGTGTATTTCATACAAATAATGCATGCTCCCGCCTTTAATATAACAAAGAATATGAACTGATTAATTCTACATTTCTCGAGCGATGTTATATTTTCCGAGTGCTATATAGGCCGAGGTTACAATATGATAACAGGAGGTGAATTCTAAATTTGGAAATGAATATTTTGTATATTGTACAACGTAATGCATACAACATTTGTCATATAAAAATGAAGGGGTGTATTCTGAAAACGATGTTTATCTTTTCATGTTTATGTTTGTAAAACCATGGACCTACTAAGACGATGTTAATCGTCATAACAAATTTTAAAAAGTCAAGACAAGTCATTGGTTAATGTTTGCGCAAAGCTGCGCAAGCACCAATGGTAAGTGTTTTTTCCATGCAATTTAAATTCTTTTTGACAATAAATATCTTCTCTCCGAACATTATTACGGAACAGTCAGGCCCTCTCCATTACTTTCAGTTCTTATAGGCGTCAGATGCGCGCAACTATAAGACAATTCAAACAACTACAACAACAAAAAATCGTCGATTTTTCTCACATTCCGGTGTTTTGTCAGTAGTTGCATAGCAACTACCGGTAAAATACAACGAAAAATTGAAATCGAAAAACCCACCTCCTGAGTGTGGTTTTACGCAATAATTGTTATTCTCGCTAAGATATCGATTTTTGCTCACGTGACTCTCTTCCCTTCCGTGCTAACGCATGCAGGGCACCAACGAGTGGCGTATGCGCACTGCTCACCCCCAAAATCGGTATGAGCAAACTTCGACGGCTTTTGATTAGGTGTTTCCAGTAGGGTAAGTGGTAGTCCCCAAAAAGAAATCGACGATTTTTTCAAAATGGTGTTTGAGATGTGGAAATGGGCCTATCGCCCAACGATACTTTGGAGAAATCGAGCAGGCTGCAGAGCTCCAGTGATGCCCGGGCGCTGCCCTGTCGATTTCTCGTCGATCGCCGGTCGATTTTAGGTCAAAGCTGGTCGAAATCGGAGGGGGGGGGGCTTCTCCAGGCGGCGTCCCGGCTGTGACCGACTAATGACCCGCCGATTCCCGAGCGGTCTCCCACCGGCCGCCGGCTGGGCGATTTCTTTCAAATCAGCCGGCGGCCGGTGATCTGTGGGGCATCAAAATATGCTCGGTGCCCGGGCGGTCGCCGCCTGTGCACCGACCTAATCGAGCGTTCGCCGTCGAGCTATAAAGGTCAAAAATCGAAGCTGCGAGGTCAAAGGCTGCCGACCGATTTTGAACTCGCCGCCCATGGAGTGACCGACTGATCTCCTAGCGAAGTCTGGGCAGCGACTAGCTGGCCGGCGAGCGCTCGGCATCCTTTGACCTAGCGGCTTCGATTTTTGACCTAAATCGTTCGACGGCCGGCGAACGCTTGATTTGGTCGGTGCGACCGCCCTGGCACCGAGCGTGTTTTGGGCGGCGAGTGAAAAGTGAGCAGGCGCCGCCGAATTTTAACTCCGCGCTAAAACTTCAGCGGCAACCGAGTGATGCCCTAAAAACAAGCGGTGCCAGGGCGAAATTGGCTAAAAACTCGACGCCCGGCCGCCGAGCAGGCTACTTTATGGGGTTGTGACCATAGCTTACGAGACGTGTGCAGACTAATTCATTTTCATACGCGCTATACCGTGCAAAGAAGCTTGTTATATTCATGCCCACGCCACATCAACAACCAAAAAAGAAAGAAAAAAAGAAATCGTTAAGTGTCACGTGATAGCTTCTCAACCTATGGGATGCTCTGTAATTAATACTCTATTTTGTTTATAATATTTACAGTTCAAATAGCCTAATTACTTTGTTTCCATTATTATCTTTTCTTGCTTGCAGCTCCTGGTTTGCTCCACGCTCATCAGACAACTTTAATCTTCGGAGGTGTGTTGATGGTTCTTCTCGTCAGCGCCCAGTGATCTAGGAGGCCAATCTTATGGAAATAATACCATATTTAACGAGCCTTTGGTGTTTTTTAAAATCATTCAAGAATATTCTTTTTCATTGATAAAAACAAGTGGATAAACTAGCTAGTCTATCAGTTGCATATACAGGGCATTTGCCTTGTACTGAATACGTGTATGACCCTCCAGTAATCTCCCGGTAAAAAATAATAATAGAACTTTGTTTGTCTTTTGCTTTATTCACATATCGTTTGAATCAAAATATAGATCTTCAAAAGACTTTTTGTTTTCAATTTCAGAAATTAATGACGTAAACATAATGTGCCCCCCCCCCTTCTTGTACGCTAAAGTCTGTATAAAAGAAAAAAGAGTAATTAATGTGTGTTATTTTGTGTAATTGTTTTTAATATTTGGAGGTTGTGATGAAATTAAAAAATATCTAGACTAATTTTTGTGCGTGAGCTTCCTTCATAAATAAGAGCACTTTGTTTATATGAGGGTAATAAACGTGGGGGTGTTTCACAAAGATCCTAAGTTTAACTTATCTCTAAGTTGGACTTAACAATAATGGAAACCCGTTAGCATCTATAAAAATATTTTGTAAATGTTATGTTAAAAGGCATATAATGTTGATTCAAATCATTTATATTTTCTATTATCAAGGAGATTTCATGTTCTTGATGTGGAATTTATTTTAAAAAGTCTAAAATGCTATTATATATTTATTATATTTTATTTTAAGGCGACGAATGGCTCTCCATATTTTTAAAGTCCAACTTAGAGTTAAGTTCAACCTAGGATCTTTGTGAAACATCCCCTGTTTTCTACATGTATACTGATCCCCTGTCGTGTCCGTTAGAATCATTTTCTAGATATCACCACTGCTTAGAAATACCATAACATGTTGCGCTTTTCCAATATTTGTTTTTAATGAAATAATTTCAAGTGTCAAGCAAGTTCAATGGCACCTCAACTTAAAGTGTTCCAATCACCTTAACAAATATTTGTATATAGCAAGAATTTTTCAAATTAATAACCTTAACATTACCTTGGGCAGGGGCGTACGCAGGATTTTTTCAAGGGGGGGGGGGGGGGTTTGCTCCCGAAAATTTGAAAATCGCGCCGGCCGAAAAGTCGCTCAGGGGGGGGGGGGGGGGGGGGGGGGGGGGGGGGGGGGGGTAAGCGGACACTTTTTTTTTTTTTTTGGTCTCGAAATTTCAAAATTTGACATTTTTCTTCGTTGGGGGGGGGGGGGTAAGGTCACCTTTTTTAGGTTAACCGTGGGTATAATTTTTTTTTTTTTTTTTTTTTAATAATTAAAAAAAAAAAAAAAAAAAAACCAAAGGGGGGGGTTTTGGTTTTTTTAGGGGGGTTTGAACCCCCAAACCCCCCCCCCTGCGTACGCCCCTGACCTTGGGTTAACCAAAGTCCAACTTAGGTTCCCTAGCCTGCGAGCCATTTTATATAAGAGCGCCTATATATGTGTGCGTCAACTGGGCTATATACCGTGTGAGTCAAAATAAAAAGTTTACACCTAGAAAATTGTTAATTATTTTTTTTTTAAATCTATGAACAGTAAATTATTATACATCATATGAAAGAGTGTTTTATCCCGAATCATTTGGTATCATTTTTGTGTGGTATATGTTCACGCTTGGATGAAGAAGAGCCGGGTATTGTTTGCGAGAGTGCAAATATCGACTTGCGCCGAAGTGATGCCTACAGCATGTATTATGTTGGGATTAGCGGAGTGAGAAAATGAGTTGAAGGTATCAATGTAATGCATTGCTTATGGTTTTGGCAGAAGCAAAGTCACAACACACATACACACGCGCGCACAAAATGTTCGTTGATATTTGATATTCGATATTTGATATGTGTGGCATGATTAATTTTGTTAGGGAGGTTATTTGGATCACTGCAAGAACCGAATTAATAACCAAATCCCTATTGTTTTATTCAAACATCACATAAGCAACTTTGGCGCAAGTCGATTTTTGCACTCTCGCAAACAATGCTTCCTGTACATCCAAGCGTGAACACATACCACACAAAAATGATACCAAATGATTTGGGATAAAACACTCTTTCATAAGATATATAATAATTTACTGTTCGTAGACGATTATTAAAATAATTTGCAATTTTCTAGGTGTAAACTTTTGTTTGACTCGCTCTGTTTAACAAGTCTTTTTACTGTTTTCTGCTAGTATATTTAAACTGCAATACCTCCTCTAAAAGTAATATTTGAAGCTCTTTAAAAAAATTAATGTAGTATGTCGACGTGGAACCTCGTACATGAAGAGCGAAACGCGTTCTGGCAATTGATACACTTCAATACGAACGGAAAAGTGATCTTACTGCCATAAATAAAGTTTACTTCTTAGATGTTGTAGGATTTTGTATGGACAGTGTTGCGATGCTTTAGTTGCAAGAATAAAACTAGATTTGCATGAAGTACAGATGTTAATAATAGGCATTAATTTATTGAATAATGAAATAACATGAAATCCAAGCAATATTTTTTAGAAATGTTTATTTCTTCTTTTTTTAATCTTCTACGCTAAATTAAATTCTGTTACATAATATTCCATGTTCGATGTGAAATTTATTCTATGTATAATCATTATTTGTCTCTTTCATTTTTCTTTTTTTTTCATTTTCATTCGTAGTCGCGTATTAAAAATAATGATTGAAGTATCATTACGTTTAAAAGTGGTCATTATTTGTATTCATAATCAGTCACTTATCTGTATATTTACTTTTCTATTCTATTAATGTTTGTAACGAGATTTGCACTTGAACATTCATGATAACATGATGCCTATATTATTGACAATATGGTAAGAATGCTAAATATATTACTCATTGCGGATGAAGTATCGAAAATAATATCGCTAGTGATATTCGTTTGTCTCGCAATGTATGGTCAACAAGCTAGGGATCTAAAAGATTACGTTTCATGCGCCGCTGCAACACTTCATCAGGTGATAAAATACATTATATATATATATATATATATCTTTCTCTCTCTCTCTCTCTCTCGGGCGGGTATACGTCTCCTCTCTTCTTTGTCTCTCTCTCTCTCTCTCTCTCTCTCTCTCTCTCTCTCTTTCTTATTCTGGAGTCGCAGAGCCATCTTTTTATTCAAATACCATTGCAACTTTTATATATTTCGAAATTGTCTTGAAGTTGATTTTTCGAAATAATGTAGATGCGTTCGTGTTTATTAGTTGTATCGAGCTCTCATACGCCTAAAAATGAAATATTGATCACTTTCAATGTTATATCATTTTAATAAAATGTACTATCTATAGACAACATGTATATGATACACGTACAAACAAAGATGATATTATTCCTTATTACAGTCTTCACTTACCTTGACTGGCAAAGACACAAAATTTAGCATAAAGTTCTTTCAGTACATGACATCAAATATATTTCTTAGTGATCAGGATATCTGTGGCATATCACGAACTCTTTTTCAAACAAAATACATTTTATATCAGTAATTGTTTTACTTCTTACAGTATTATCTTTCAACTGATACAAAAAGACCAATCATAGAAGTATTATTCTAATAACTACCATCAAAATATACATAAGGAGAATAGCAATATCATTGATAAGATATTTGGTCACGAAAATTAGATGAACATGCAGGCAATAAAAATAGGTAACGAAAAAAAAAAAAGACCCAAGAATTTTGATGGTGAGTTATCTCAGGTTCCAATAGTTACGAACAAAATTCTGTGACAATGAAAATAAACATTTTGAAAATTGAAATAGACAACATGTAGTTTTCGTTTCATCATCTTAATCGAAAGACAACGTCTATTCCATCCATAAAATAAAGATAAAGATAAATGAAAGCTCTTTATATTCAAAGCATGATCATACTTCCTATAAATATAATTTCTTTCTAGACATCACTTTCCTTGTTAGCTTTCATTACATGATAACTGTTTGTTTTAACAACCGGCGCAAGTGGACTAAGAATAGCAGAAATGACTGTAATGAATGAATGAATTGGAACTGCAAGATTTGATTAGTTATTAGTATACCAAGAATATAATTCCAAATACTTCAAAAAAAATCATCAACCTAAGCTTGTCTTTCACCTTTAAAAGGTGAATGTAAAGGTTTTTTAACAATGTGAACTTTCTTATTCATTTTACTCCAATGTGGAGGAATATTTCAACATTTCACATGTCATGATTTGCTGTTAAAATGTCCTTGAATTTTAAATATGAAAACTTGGGAAAAAATGTTGATGCCACAACCACGCATGTGTAGTCCCACATACTCTTCTCCGAGTGCATTGCTTTATACTTTCATATGTGATTTTCAGCAAGATTCGTTGTGATCTAAATAGTAGTCAAAATGTCATATACAGTTAAACATACTCAACCTCTGTAAATATTTTGGCAGTTATTTGACTAGTATTTCACTCTATTTTGGTTCAATCTCCATTCTAATTGGTTTTTAATTGGAAAATGAACAGACATAAGAAATTTAAAAAAAATTAAATTCCAGGAGTATTGGCTGACATTTTGTGCCATTTGAATAATATGTAAGTGTCTAACATTAGTCATTATGATTTAACATCTTAAGGCTCGTTCAGATATCATGCAGCAAAACCGCGGCAGTATTTTAATGATGACGTTAAGTGTCAAATGCATCACATATCTGTATCTACTCAGTGAATTCGCGTAGGAATTTTATTGGGTGCAGTTGTCTTTCATTTACACGTACAAAAAACTGTGGCAGCTTTTTTTTTGCAGCTGTTTACAGTGCCATATCTGAATGAGCCTTTAATGAAAATTGATTTAACAAATCATGCTTCTTTACTTTTTGTTTCTGATTCAAGCATGTGTCCATCTTTTGATCAGTTAAATAATTGAATCAGCTACATTTTTTTTGTTTTTCATCTGTCCTGCCTCTTTCAGAATGAATCTATTGTTTGTTTTGGCAAACTATGAAAAAATGCATCATGAGTATCACTAAACCAATCCACATGAACAAGTGTATGCCGTCTGCTGAGAGCCAGAAGGGTGTTCACTATGTGTTGAAGTACGAGTTAACACCCTTCTAGTTCCAAACTAAGAGACAACTGCATTTTGCATTAAAAAAAAAACATTGTCATTAGGGCCTCTCTAACTATGAATACATAACAAATACACAACAAAAAGCAATGTATACCTCTGCATGTTGCTGCCAAGTAATAAATGCATTTTTTGTTTAAATATACATCATGCTCTTTTTCTAGCTGTCAACATATTGTTTTTTTCTATTTGTCTTTCCTTTTTTTCTTCTTATTATGGTCCAAAGACATGCTCAAAATGATGGTGACCTTGATGTATTTTTCTAATTGGACAAAAACAGTCATTGGTTTATGCATTTGTATAAAGACAGTGGATGAAAGATGAATTTAGAGAAAATGATATAACAATACCTTTCATTTCCTTACAAGATATATTGTAGTAAGCACAATTTTTTTTTTTTTTTTTAACAAACAGCTGTGCATACAATGGGTATAGAGATTTAACATGTATATGTAAATCTTGCAGATGATTGTTTACCTTATATGTCTATAAGTATTTAAAAAGGAATGATTTCAGTTTTGTTTTATAAGCGCAACAAAACAGATGCCAAAAGGTTCATAAATATTGATTTTTAAAAAAACTTGTACAAAATGATAACATGACATGATAACAATTAAAAAATGAATATAACAAAAAAAACTTGGTAGAACGGTACCTGTTTGAAGGTCAAACAAATCTCTGTCCTCGATCTACATTATAAACATAATTTTTCCTCTACATATCTTACATATTCTTTGTTAATTTCCAGCTACTGTTAATAGAAGGAGGGATTAAGTCTGAGGGAGGGAGGGAGGGAGGGAGGGTGACAGAGAGTATATTTTATTGTACAGTCAAACCTGCTTTAGTGACCACCTGTCTGTAAAGACCACAATTTTGGTTTCCCTTGAAATAGGTTTCTCATTGAAACATGTACATGTAATAAAGGAACCTGTGTACAAAGACCACCTGTCTACAATAGACAAGTTTGACTGTAGTTTAAGTAGAGAATGGAGTGTTGTGTAAACTCATGGTTTTGTGATTTTCATTTTAAAATAAAGAGGATTTTTAGAGGGGAAAAAAAAAACGAAAGGGCGGGGCACATAACTATACCTTCTACGAAAAGCCTTCATTTTTACAAATAACAATTTTGTTCTTAAATATTTGAAGGTACTGACACACAGTTTGAACCAATCAAACCATAATTGACTGTTCAGAACCAAAAGTGCATTAACTCTGTGTTAAAGTATATGAGTTTATGCCCTAATGCCCCAATGAAACAATACAGTGGAATTCTTCAAACACTACCTCCCAATGAATACCGCATTACATGCAAACGAAACTCAAACATAGTAAAACAAATAATTCAAATAACTGTTGATCTACAATGGCTTAAACATGATCAAAGGCAACACATTAGGTATATACACAACATCTTGAGTGGATACCGAAGTCGCACTGACAAGATCGACACCGAACCGACCATAGACCAACAAAATGTAGAATCCAGTGAGACCCGTATAGAAAGAACACCCAAGGGAGACCCAAGAAGCAGTCTTTATAGGCAGGCTGGAATCACTTCCAAGGGGAAAGAAAATTGTAGTCTCTATAGGCAGGGGGCCGTGACTACACAAAACCATCACAAGTACACATTCACAGACATCACATTGAAACGGGTTTCGATAGAGGGTCAGCGAACTTGTACTTTTGGCGGTTTCGTGAAAAGCTGCCATGGTCTTTCTGTACAGGTGGTCACTATTAAATGCAGGTTTTAATGTATTATGAATGGTTAAGATTTTGTTACTTCTCTGTTGCTTTGAATTCAGTCTGGTAGTGTGACTGAAGTATAAGGACAGTAAAGCTCTCCAAATCTATTTTTTAACCATTAATAAAAAAAAATATTAAAATCTTTTTATAGATGGTCTTAAATGAACTACATGGATGAGCCGTGAGTAGTCTGTGCTTTGGCTAAACACACAGAGTTCTTGTCCAAGAAAAAAAGACTGGTTCTCTTTAAGAGTTGAATCAAATCAAGAATCAGTACCATATCTTTCTTTTTTCTCATCTAACATCATATATATATATATATCTAGGCATCGTTTTCATAGATGTGCATCCTGAAACAGGGTATATGCTAATTGTCTCTTTTAACATCAATTTTGAATGAATGATACCATGAACTCAAATGCAATTCTAAAGAATGATGCTTTACTACATGTAAGAAGAAAAAAAATGTACTTTTACATCACTATCCCATGGTGATAACAACAGATGTGTTTTGTTTATTAGTTTAACCATAATATATTGAAAAAGAAAACACATCTGGGCCTCGTCTTATGAAGAGTTGATATTAATCACAACTTATTTGCAAGTGATTTGGATCAATCGCAATTCTTTATCAGACGGGGGCCCTGATGAGGTAAAAATTCACACTACCCTTCGCAAATGATCTTCAACAAACTGGCAAAGATTACAAAATATAAATAGGAGAGTATGAGGAGCTCAAAGCATTTTACACTTAAACATAAACAAGTAACTAGTATAGCATAACACATCTGCCTCATGGTTATAGGTGATGAGTACTGACACTAAAATCCGCACATAACTCACTTCGATCCACTACCATATGTGAAAGGTCCTCACATCAAATCAGCAATATCCAACAGCGAAAGGTGAATCGGCAATACCCAACAGCGAAAGGTTCTCCGGGTCACTTCCTACATGGTTCGCAATATCATAATCAACCAGCCACAGCTACGGGGTGTTCTTTGGAAATGTGATCTGGGATCTCAAACATGGATGACCTGGCATGGGACTACATGTTTTTTTCTGGGAGAGAGGTTGGGCAGTTGACTCCAGAGGGCGAGTACTATCCTCTGGAGAAGAGGTTGGCACACTATGTAATGAAGAGAAAACAAGGGATTAGAAACAAAACCTGAGAACAAAAAACAAAAACAAAAACTTTCCACAGGTGCCTTGATATTAATAACCCCCCCCCCCCCTCTTTAGCTTTAGCAGCTGTTATCAGTGCACAGTCCACGTCAGGGACTAAATCCTGCCTTGTACCCACTCAACACCTGGGTGGAGAGCAGTAACTGTGGACAAAATGACTTGTCTAATGACATATGTTGGAGTGTTGTGGCTGAGTGGTTTCAGGCGCTTGACTTGAGATGCAAAGGTTCAAGGGTTTGAATCCCGACACGGCACTACATGTAATATCCTTTGGCAAGATATTAACCTTCACTTGCTACTCTCCACCCATGTGTTAGATGGGTACCTGGTAGGATGCGGCCTTCATTGTTGGTCAAACAGCTTGTGAGCGTCAAGTAACGCCTGGCTGGAAAGCTCCCCTGCGAGTGAAGATTGTGCACACAAAGTGTGCGGGCAAGTATGGAATCCAATGACCGGGTAATTGTATATCTGCAAAGCGCTTAGAGACATCGTAGATGTATTAAGCGCTATATAAAATCAGAATATTATTATCATATGCAGCAGGCTGAGATTCAAACCTAAAACCTTTTGACTAAGACTAAAGTGAATGAAGCACTATATAAACATTATGCTCCCACTGATATGCAATTTCCATGTGCTAGTCTCTCACTGTGTAAAAATTCACAGAGTCAACAATCGACATTACATGCACAAGAGCTAACTAATTCATGCTAAATAAAACTGATGAGTTTCAAGCCAAACATCATCTGCAGCAGCGTGCAAAGGGGTGTTGACTCTATGAAAAGAGCTATTATTTAATTTTCTTTAAGCTACCATGATCATCAGGCTTTCTTCAATCTTCTTGGCTTTGTTGATGTCATTTACATGAAAAATGTAAGGAAATAGACTTTAATTGCGCTTTTCTACCAAGTACACTATTTGTTTTGTCATATTAAAAAATGGACATGGAATACAGATAAGGAAGATACCAAATGTAATTTAGGAATTATTGTTTGTGTGTGGGTGTGAATTCCCAAGGCTTGGGGACTGTCAGAGTAAATAAAGTGACATTTAAACTTACCAAAATCATATATAGTTGGGGCGTTACATAAATATCTATCTTTTGGATTTCAGAATTGCACCCAGCCTCCATCACTTGATGATCTATAGGAATAAGAATTGGAAATGAAGACTTAGGAGTAATTCAAACTATTCTATGAATACTGAATGTTCAATAAACAAACATATATGAACTGACAAATTCAAAATTTCAAACGTAATATTTTACATGTATTTCAGCGAGGCCACAGGATGAGGTTGAAACATAATTGGACAGCATTAGATAATTTAGGAGCCATCGAGTCAAAAGAAGACAGAGTTATGACATCAAATGGGAAAATGTTAGTGATGAGCATCCTTTCACATTTTAGTTTATATGGAAGAACTTCACATTTGAAACATATGTTACATATGATTAGGCCTTGAGTCAATCTGGCTTTGGCATTTTCAGTAAATGAATCAAATGATTTTGTCAAGAACCAGTTTGGGGCGAAGGCCACCCTATGACAGAAGATAGATAAGAACAAGTTGCAGTATTTTGGACACATTTCTAGGAGAGAAGGTCACAACCTGGAGAAGATAGGTAGGCCAACAGTTTGATGGGCTGATGGAATAAAAGAGATTACTGGCGTGAACATCTGCACAGTTAATCTGTATGCCCAGGATAGAAGCGGTTGGAACGTCATCATCAATTGGGTCACAAAGGGTCAGTCATGACTCATAGGACAACGATGGCGAAACGGGTTTCAAAGTGAAGTGAAGGGGTGTCGACTACCTAGGGGAACACTGGCTCTGGACGCGAACCGCTTTCTCGTGGACATAATCGAAATGTCTACATTTTTCGTCACTACTCACTTTTCTGCACTTGTGAAGTCACCCCATTCTGATGCACCTGTGTTTTGAGGTTGAGCTGCTGGGGGTGGGGCGCTGAAAGAACTTCCAAAACCCCCTACAGATAGAGAATACATATTAGAGAGTTATTTTGTAACCATAAGTGACAGAACCAGTGGAAATGAGTGATATTTCTTTCTGGTATAGCGTATATTCTCCGTCCCTCGGAAAGGAGATTAAATGGTGGCCCCGTGCAGAGGACACTCTACACCTTTGCACGTTAAGAACCCACTGCACTATTTGTATGTGGTCCACCTGCAAACCCCCAATCAGTTACACCCGAGGAGAGACCTAAGGGTTACAGCGAGTCGGTTCGCTTTTCGCCTCCCAGGCACAGGTGACGCCAAATACTTAATAATAATAGTATATGACGCATTTAGCAACGTCTCTACAAGCATCTTTTCATCTATTTTGGTTCTACAAATTTCGAAGTTATATCGCAGAGAAACTTAGGGCAGGCTATTTTTGTTGTGCATCACATACTTAAAGTTCGTCGGAGACCGCTAAAACCTCTTGCATGCCTATTAATTACAAATTGTGAGACAGTTCAGCAAATGAATCACTTGTGACCGTGTTAGCCTACTCATTTCATTAGGATCTAGGAGAAAGTTCTATCATACAAAGTATATAATGATAAAATGTTAGCCAACCACTCTTACCTAATAATTCATTGGTTTGTTGTGATTGGTTTGGTTGTACTGATTGTTGTTGTTGTTGTTGTTGTGCTGGGGGCGGTTGCACAACCCCACTGCTTGGCGGTGCCGTGACAGGTGCCCTGATCGCAGCCCCCGCTCCAGCCCCAGGGGGCGGGGGTAGTAAGATGGGGGTGCCCGCTCCTACACCACCCGATGGCTTTGGTCTTGACTTGGCAGATTTGCTCTGAAATGAACAATATCAAAAGAATATTGCTTACAAATTTTCATTCTCTATTTTGTTTAAAGAAAAGGTTGAGTTCTGGAAAGAGGTGAACAGTAATTTATGAGCATTATCATTGTTATTATGCAAGTGTGGAAGAACATCAGATGAAAAATGTTCCCTGAAAAGCATGGCTCTTTAAATACTTGAATATTCTAAATATGGCATGTTATATCATAAAAATCGGGACAGATTTTTATGCCACATGTTTGTGTAGTCCCATCAATAAATCTTTCTGTGTACAGTGCTTGTAACTTCACCAAGACTGGGCCAAATTTCTTATCATTTTGATGATTCCAGAACCTTGCAGTACACACCAATACTTATATGCTAGATGATCAACCTTTTGTGATCGATTCCACACAGTTTCTTTCACAATGCAATTGCATGACCAGAATTCAACCTCCGTCTTTGAAACAGATGCAAATGATGAGATTGATCACAACTTGATATCAATTGCACCTCTGTAGTAAAGAGAGAAGTTTGCGATTGATTGGAGAATTATGATCCATCTGAAAAAATCAGAAACTCTTTAAGACAGGGTCCTAGACAAACAAAAGGTATCGTTTCAAGTTTAATTTAGTAAATTCCAATAAAATCATAAACACATATATGTATAAGTTATTCCTTTACAATCTGAACATATGCAAATAATCACTACACAAATTACTACAAATTTCAAGTAAATGACAGACCTGGAAGGAAACTGAACAACGTATGTTCATGTAGCTGAGTAAGGGCTTATTCAGATATGGCCCGGCAAAACCGCTTTGTTTTTTCGTGATGACATAAAGTGTTAGACACATCATATTTCTTATCTGTAATAGAACACAGAGCTCAATGAAGTCCTTTATAGGCGGTTTACCACACCATATCTGAACGAGCCTTAATCAATGTAGGAAGGTGAAGAAAACAAGGTAACCTGGCCAACTAATAAGGAGGCGCGATAGCTCAGTCGGTAGAGCAGTGGCCTCGTAATCCGGTGATCCGGATTTGAAACCAAGTCGATGTGCTAGTGCCCTTTGGTAAGGCATTAATCCTCATTACCAGGTCCCTCGGAGAGGACCTAAAGCCATCGGCCGTCTGGTTGCTTATTTACAAGCATTTGTGCTTTCTTAGCAGTCAGGTAAAATAACCACCCCCACATAATTATTATATATAGTCCCATATGTAAATATCTGGGCTGGTGTTACATGCAAGCAAGCTTTGAACAAAATAATGTTCTTATTTATATTCACATTAATAACTGGGCAACACAATCCATAAGAACCACGAGCGATCGGTCAACACAATACCTACAAAACGTACATGTACGAGCAGCGGGGGTCCCACTAGAAGTTACGTGCCATGTACATGCAATTAACTTTGAAGTGACACCAGGTATTAGTTAAAGTGACTTCTTGCCAAACTTGCAGTTTAAAACTTTGAATACTCATTTTGGTCCCGTGTTTGTGAACCCTTATCATTGTCAGAGGCTCGGTCTTTATAACTTCTAGGTTTTGCAAACTTAAATTGTAGATGCAATTAACTTTGAAGTTACACCAGGTAATAGTTAAAGTGACTTCTTACCAAACTTGCAGTTTAAAACTTTGAATACTCATTTTGGTCCCGTGTTTGTGAACCCTTATCATTGTCAGTGGCTCGGTCTTTATAACTTCTAGGTTTTGCAAACTTAAATTTTAAAACTATAACATATGGTTCCAAGTGAACATACATGTAGTAAAATATTTCAAATCTCTTTTCTTACCCCGATATTGATGGTTATTGTTTGGCCTTCCTTGAACCCAAGGTCTAGCTTTGGGACTGGATTCTTGGATTCGTCCGCCATGTCTTGCTCTTGTTTCATCCCTCTGCGTGCACAAAAGGACAAAAAAAAAATAGATTAGAATGTAGTGAACAAAACAAGGGGTATCATCAAGTCAGTGGTGGATCCAGGGATGGGAGGGCCCCCCCCCCCCCTTGTGAAAAAACACGTTAATTTTACCTTTTTTTTAAATCAATGTTTTTGATGGGTCATTGACGATGGCATTTTGATAAGCGACCTATCAAATCAACAAAGGCATTAATCCACTTTCATGCCATTATAATATATTTTTAGTTAGTTTTTAAAGACATCATCATTTCTTGGATATGGTTTTCCTTTTAATTTACTCACACTGTCGGTGCTTGCCTATTCAATCAAACTTACTTGAAATGATCTTGAAGAGTAACGTTGAAGTCAAATGAATCTCCTCGGTCTGAGAAACCGATTCCTATGAAAGCTTTTCGACCTACAGGAGATTGAAACGACATGGATTGAATATATTGTGATGATCAATTCAATGTAAAAGAATTTAACGTAATCGCGGGAACGAGGTAGTTCCCAGCATTTTACACACTTTTGTCACCCTTACTTTGCATGTGAATTGATGATGTCTATCTCGGCCTGGTTTGCAGCTGTTATGTGATGGATGCCAACATGATTGATATTTCTGAATGATAAGTGCTCCATAGACTCCAAAGAAATTCACTGGACAGTGACATAATGTACAAAATGAGACCATACAAAGACGCAAACAGGTAAGAAAATTGATAAACTCAAGAGATGAGTATTTATGTAAGGGTTTACTTTAAAAATCAGTGAGGAATTATTGAATATTAGTCCTGATTTAATCCTTTTTTTTCTGATTTGCACGGACATCCCTGTTTAACTGTATGATAAGCTGCCATCAGGATGATTGCTACGAGGTAAAAGGTACAAGCAGGGTTGATTTTCGCTCTTCATATTTTCAATTGTACTTTTCATGACAAATATTCCTTGTTTTACATATACCTGTACTGTATTTTTATTTTTTCTACATGCATATGTTTATTTATTTTGTATGGCAAAAAAACAAATGAAGCTAACAGGTTTACCTGACTCATCTTGGATTCTGATCACGAAGTAACGACTTGAATCCGTAACAGCCTCTACTTCCACACCAGGGTATGTTTCAATTGGAGCCTGGGCAAATAACTCTCCTAGTTGAGACAGAGGTAGAGGAACAAAACAAAAAGCATTTACAACATCTAAATTATTCATACCCTTACTTTTTACCTTACCTTTGTACTTTAAAAAAAAAAATTAATTACGGTAATCAAAAAAATTGATTTGTTCCGAATCATTTTTATTTGTGACATATTTAGGCTTACATTTGAAAGCATTCAACAAAGGCCCTTATTCAACCAATTCACCTTTAATTTTGAATATTGTTAACCATTGTTATAACAAGTTGAGAATGATCCAATTTGTTGGGATTATAAATAATTTTACTTTACCTGCTTTACTTTCGAGCTTGATCCACAGTTTGGGGCCTTTCGTTATAATCTTCAGCCTCCCTATCCAGTCTGGCGCATCCAACTTCCAATCCGCGGCTCTGAATCGCAAGAAGACGAAAAATGACAGAATTTATTGAAAGTGATGTTAAAGATGAAGTTGAGTTCTGGTTATGCGATTGCATTGTGAAAGAAACAGTGCGGAATCGATCAGAAAAGGTTGAAGATTTAGCATATAAGTATTTGTGTGCATTGCAAGGTTCTGGAATCATCAAAATGATAAGAAATGTGGCCAAGTCTTGGTAAAGTTACAAACACTGTACACATAAAGATGTATATGGGACTACACAAACACGTGGCTTAAAAATCCATCCTGATTTGTACGATGTTACATGACATATTTAGAATATGACGGCATTTGTAGAGCCATACTTTTCAGGGGAGATGTTTTATCTGATGTTCTTCCAAACTTGCATGATAACAATGATAATGCTCACAAATTATTGTTCACCTCTTCCCAGAACTCAACCTTCTCTTTAAGTCCTGCTGGTTGAATTTCATTTTGAAATGTCTAATACCAAAATTACACCATTCAACCAGCGCTCAAAATACACGGGGGTGATGGGTAATTCGCCCCCGTGAGCTCCATAATCGCCCGTCAGGTTGCTCATGGGGGCGATTGCAAAATTAAAAATCGCCCCCTTGGAATTATAAAATAAAGATTATCTTTTCTGATATAACTTTAACACATTATTGAGTATCAATTTTCAAACCTTAAACCAATGAAATGGAACTAAGATGGCACTTTCTCTCCCACCTCTATGATTATTAGTTACCGATATAAACAACGGAAGCTCGCAGTGCAGCTAGTGCGGCCAGGCGTCAGCAGAGGCTATACTGCGTCGGTAGTGGTGTGCACGGTGATGCCCAATATCGAGGCAATCGCGCAAGGACTGAAACATGGAGAAGTTTTTCGATGTGAAAAGTGTGATTCCTCTGATATCTGGTGATTCTAAAAGCCCAGCAAATAATGTAACTCGACCAGTAAATCAATATATAGAAGACCAACGATATTGCAGGGACCGATGTAGGCGGTTGAGGGGGTTATTAAAATAAGAGCCCCCGTCAGTACTAAAAGAGCCCCCGTGAGAAGGCTCACGGGGGCTCTTTTTGGGGGGAAGAGCCCCCATGGACAAAAAATTAGTTTGAGCCCTGATTCAACACTTGAACATTTTATGTTTGTGGGCAGTGTATGCCGTTTGGTGCCAAGGACACCCTGCCTGCCTGTATGCACAGACGGTTTACAAATGATTTCAAAGACTTACCCATAGTCATAATATTACCTGTGAGTTTGAATGATTTTATATTTTGTTTTCACCTTTTTTCTAAACTGAGGAAACGTAATGGAGATTAAAATGATCTTCTTTTATGAGTAGATCTAGTACTAGTAGGAGGTGAAAGAAGCTCGTGACTGACCTTGGAAGTGATTTTCCAGAGGCTTTCTTATAGATTCTAAACCCCCTGGTAGATGTGGACAAAACAATCCTTGGCTCTCTGGAGAGTATCAAATATCATTGCCTTTGTTGTCTGTGCAGCACCCTTGTCTTCCGTGCATATAATAACTTAATGATTCTAATGCAACAGAAATTCAAAACACACAACGAACACAAACTGTTTGTTTCTATAGGTCTAGATTATAATACTTACATGTAATGATAGCAATACGTACATGTACTCAGGTTTAAAAAAATGAGTAAAAAATGTTTATACAAATTTAAAGCAAAATTTTAGCAATTTTAACTCACACAGACACAAGCCTCAAAATTGAATCTTTCATGTTGTACAGTGGACAGACATGAGAACCTTTGTTTTTGCAAATTCTAATAACATTGACATTGCCACACAATACAAACTGACACTAGCGTTTTTTTCTTTCTGGAGAATATTACATTCTTGTTCAAATTTCAACAAGATTTTTTGCACATATAAAGTGGCTCAGCTCCAGTGTGCGGCCGGTCCACAGGAACTGCCGATTCTATTTTTATGCAAATACTCACAGAATACTTCAATACCCTCAATATAGAGTCTATATACTTCCTTATTAAATAGAAGTCACAAATAACCTAACCGACCCACAGCGTGGCCAGCATTGACCCCGTTTCAAAATGCTTTGAGTTCCCCTGTGTGCAGCCATGCATTAACTGGTGGGCGGCATGGTCGGCATGGTCATAAAGCTTTATGCGCAACGTCACAATCAAAGCATGTACCAAATTACTACGGGTAACCCAAATTCTCATGTTTATCTGTTGCTACGGTAAATTTGTCAAGTTTTAAACAATTTCACCTTTTCCTCAAATGGATCATCCCAACTAGGGAGGAACGGGGTACGTACTACTAGAAATTAGCAGGTCATAGCAGGTACTCCCCGGCCCCCCCCCACTCAGTGTTATTTAGGGTACGCATATGCTCGTACCCTCTTTTTGAAAGCACCCCCTATCTGAGGACTGCCAACATTTCCGAACCCCCCTTTCGCGGGCTTTTCGCGGGCTTTTCCTGCCTTGGAGACCCCCCTAAATCAGGAAAAATGCTCAATGTACCCCCCTAAATTCGGAATAATTTCTCAGGAGTCCAAAGAGATGAGAGAAAAAAAGAAAAACACCCCCTTTTTAAAGAAATCTCCGGGTGAAAAGTCAAATACACCCCTTTTTTTACAATTCTCGGGCCGGACTTTGTCGCACGAAAAGTACCCCTTTACCGGACATTTTGGCAACACGCATGCGGTCATTTCGACCTCTGAGTGGGGGGGCCGGGAGGTATACACATCAGCACACATACCGTTATACACAAACCTGCATGTTATGTGTGTCTTGACACCCCCAGCCGTACACAGGGCAGGCATGCAATTACGACATCGGTAAGCGGCCACCCCATGCAACTGGCCCTGCGGTGGCACAATCAAAATGTCTGCGATAGGAGACAGACCACAGCCATCATACTCCCACAACGACATCAAATTTCACCTCCAATCCGACAAATAAAGCTACAATATTGATCTAGTCTCGCCTCGATCTCTTAACTTAAAAGTTAGCACCTGGGCAATTCAACGGTAACGGAATTACATTTCAGAGAAATTTGGGCTCTATTTTGATATACTGTAGACAGGTGGTTAGACCTAGGTGATTATTTATCTTTTTATTCTTTCTGTATTATGCACCTGTTAGCAAATCAAATTAAAAAAAAATATTTTTCAACATTCGGAACACCCCAGGACCAAAAGTGTGTCGGTAACGGAATTACGGCAGAAAAATCAGGTTATTTTTTACACTAACTTTGCATACCTGCCAACCTGAGACAAGAGAAATTAGGAGTAAATTTTTCTGGATGGACTACGAGGTCGCGAACCACCGAAGGATTGGGGTAGTAGCCCGTAGATTGGGGGGGGGGGGAACTAACGATCACGTTTGGGCTGCGCTGTGTATATCTTCTATGAGCTCGAGCGCGGATGTCGGCGTGATCTGGTTATCAGTGCTGTGTTATGCTTTAGTCTTATACATACATACATGCATATTGGTATTTATTGAGCGTCTTTACATGAACATGCTCAAAGTGCTTTACATTTCGAAATACAAACATAATAGTTATATACTCTCCAAGTGCATTACACTCTAAAAAAAAAAAATTAAAAAAAATTAAAAAAAATTAAAAAATTTTAAAAAATAAAAAAAAATCGGAGTTTTGAGGCATGCATTCGGAATTCGGAGTTGGTATGAAAAATGCGGAGGAACTCCGCCTAAATCGGGGTGGTTGGCAGGTATGACTTTGAAAAGATTTCGTCTGAAATCTGCAGCCAATTGGGGGTGAAGTAATGCTAATAAAGGGAGCTTATATTGTTGACTGTCCCATGGCAAGATTTTTTTTGGTGAAGTTGTCAGGGTTTATCTATGCCGAATGGTTTTATGAAAGAAGGTAGCGGTAACGGAATTACATTAATGGTAACGGAATTACGTCTTCTGAAATAAGCTTGAAAAAAGGTGATTTTGTAAACATTATTTAGGCTTAAATTGTTGTTTAATTGTTTCAGGGGTTGCAATAATTGATTTAAACTACAAAGCAATGCATATGTGCACTTCATTTCTAAAAACTGTTGAAAAACGTGTCTTTTATATCGTTAAATAGCAAGTAAATATGACATTTCTGAGCAAATATTGGTGTGTAGTGATTAAATTTATGTCAATATGTGTTATCATATACTAGTTTACAACTAATTTTAATTTGGTTTAGTTTGCAAGTAGGAACATCACACAAAGTATGACAAACTACATATATTATTGCCCATTTGGCGGTAACGGAATTACACATATACAGATCACTTTTGTGACCATACATGACAAACTGGTTGTGAAGTCGCCAAGACCAATTTATAGAAACAGGTCAATAAACTCCACAGTATTCAGTAGGAAACAAAGGATATTCAATTGTTTTATTGACTATTGTGAGGGCCTATTAACCTAGCAAATACCACATGCAATACATTATTTCAAAGCTTATTTTATGCAGGTTTGATCAAAATCGATCGAAAATTGCAACATTACAACCTGTTCGTCGTGGATGGTTACATTTAAGCATTCAAACAATTCCAAAACACTTAAGTGCTACTAATAACACTGTCTACACCCAACACAGGGATCTTTGTGTAAATTAAAAACAAAACACATGAATATGTATTTATAATGATTTCAGTCCATAAAGCCAACCACCAAAATCTAAACTAATTATATAAAGAGAGCTTAATATAGCTATCATTTTGTCAACAGCGTTTCAATAATATTTCACACCAGAATTTGTAAATCATTCCCCTATCTCATATTTTTGTCGAGCCAATTTTGCGACATTAATGGTAGAGCCTTAGAGGGAGCACTGGTTATCATTCTTTTAAAATTAATTACAAACCTTGTCAGATGATTCCATACTACAATTTCAATCCACAAAAGCTAGCACCCGATTCAAAACTAATTAATTAAGATAATGTCATCAACAGAGTTGCAATAAAATGTCAAACCTTGTAAATCATTACGCCAATTCACTAAATTGTTATCATTCTTTAATAGTTGGTTATTATTCTTTTAAAATTAATTACATACTTGATCAGTGTTCTTGAATTTGTTACAACATGTAACAAACTTGACCATTGTCATCATTCTTCATTCCAAATAGTTATTTTTTCTCTGAGCGTTAGCGATCTAGTCAAAGGCGCCCTGCCATCCCCCCATCCCCTTATGTTTAATACGTAGAGTATGGAAATTAACCGTCTGCAAGAGGGCTAGTCTGCTATGGTCGTAGCCATCTACAAACTGTACATGTAACTTCTAATAAAATACATGTTTTTTGATAGATTAGACCTTCCCCTTCAACCTCCACCTTGTCATTTGTTAACGTATTTGCTCTGAGCGCTAGCGGACCTGTACAGTAAGTTACCCTGACACCTTCCCTCAGTCCCATATGTTTTACGTGTTACGAGTCGGCAAAGTAACCGTCTGCAACGGGACTAGTCCGGTACCTGCCACAGCCTTTTTACTTTTTATTAAATATTTTTCGCTAGATTAGACCTTGCTTTTTCAACCTCCACCTACATATAGTCATCGGCAAAGGTATTTTCTCTGTGTGCTAGCGGACTTACTCAAAGTCACCCCTCCCCCCCCCCCCCCCTCCAATGGCCCCATCCATATAACGAAAGTGTCCGTCTGCAAGAAGACTAGTCCACTATGGTCCTTTATAGCCATCTAACTTTTAATGAATTATCCTTTTTTTGTTTTGGTAATTTACATGTATTGTAGACCTTGCTTTCCAACCTCCACCTAGCTGTTTTTTAGGGTGTTTTCGTGGGGTATTTTCTTTGAGTGCTAGCGGACATCGTCAAAGTCACCCTGCCCCCCCCCCCCCCCCCCTTTCCCTTTAAAAGTCCCATATGTATAATACGTAGAGTAGGGAAATTCACAGTCTGCAAGAGGGCTAGTGCGCTATGGTCTTAGCTTTCTAACTTCTTATGAAATTTTTCTTTCTTTTTTCGATAGATTAGATGAGATCAGTGAAGAATAAAAATCAGAAAAGGCACTGTTTAAAATCGCCATAGGTGAAATAATATGAAGTATTTCCATGCTTAAATCAAAAGGTTTCATAAGAGATGTTGGTACAATTTTAATTGCAAGTTCAGAGTGAATGAAAATAAACACATCTAAAATTCCCAGCCTAATTTGTAGTCTTTATGCAAATTTGAAAAAAGTTTTTAAAAAACATTCATTGAATTTATCGAAGCCAGATCCTTAGTCTTTAGTTAGACAGTTAATATAATAAGCCACTACTTCAAAAAAAGGGGCAAAATCCATTAAAAATGTTGTAACACAGCATATATTATATGTACATGAGGCAGCAGGTCCATCTCTTGAAAAACGAACCACTCATTACTAATGCTGCTGCCCCTTGTAATTATGTTACCAATGTAATTCCGTTACCATGTAATTCCGTTACCAGTGTTTTGATAGGAAAATAAGTAGATACTTCTGAAATTAATGTTTAGGGCTGTTGGTAGGTAGATAAAGGAAGAGAATTTGCAACTTCAAAAAAAAAAAGTAAGAAATAACTTTGTGAGTAAAACTTCTTTCAAATTTTGGTAACGGAATTACGCCATTTTAAGGGTAAAATTGAAAAATCTCTCACACAAAAACTTTTTTCATTTTTTGAAAATAATTTGCAAATCTTGATTCCTATTTGTGATGCTGTTCAATTAGGAATAAATATAGAGGAATAAGTTTTAAATACATTGCTCCACTGAATTTTAAGAAATTAAATCATGATCATGTGATTGTGGCCCCCAAAATAGCCCCAACTTCAAATAAATTTTTCAGAAAAACCATAAAAGATATTTCAAAACGGTTTTCAGTTCCGTCACAAGTGATTTCTTGACCACATGGAAAATGTTAAATTATTGAAGTTGGATCAAATTAAGAATTTGGTGATTTTCCTCTTTCCCATACGGAATTGCCCACCTGCTGGAATTTTCATCGGCGACTGGTGCCATAGATTTCCGACATCGCTGACGAATAATCCGTACCAATCGATAGGAACATCTGCTACGGACGTTTTCGGCAAAGCAGAACTTACCGGGGAATCCACGTTAAGTTTCAATAGCATATTATCGAGTTGCATATATTTTATTTCGTAGATCTATACCCCTGGCCGCCCACCGGGCTATGCCGCACACTACTTTACTCTCTAGGCCTAGATCTAGATCTACCCTTTCAATAGACAATCAGGTTATGCATCCAAAGAATATTATTCAAAATCCCTGTCAAGTGTCAATTTTAAGTCAAATGTTAATTACGAAGACATAGTCTAGATCATACTCATAGTCACATAGATCTACTACATGTAGGTCTACATAGCCATAGTCGACGCATACTAGGTCTAGTCATACTCATCATAGAACTAGTAGTAGGAGGACATGTAGGCAGCTCCCCATCACACAGCGTAGGCTTACCGCACCGGGAAGCTCTCCCGCCGGCGTTCTCGCTCCACACGCCCCTTTCAAAATTCAGCTCATTGCGGACTGGCAGCACCATTTCAACAACATATTGTATTAAAAGGTCATTTAAATTCACCAAATTTACCAAATCTATCATTATATGCTCTTACCGGTAGCCCCTGTTCGTTGTCCGAGGTGGTATTCTGAACACATGAACCTCGGGCTTCACACATAAAACTCTTTCGTAGTCGTCCATGTTTGCCATGTTGGATGAGAGATGAGCAAACTGTACCGGAAGAAAAGCGAAAGGTCAACGAACTTTCGTTCTCGGAAATTGGAAAATAATGCCCTTTTCATAGGCAAATTCTTTTGAGTTCATAAGATAACCAGTCAACGGACCTGACGTGTTTCATGAGTCCAATGTATTACAGCTTCACGTAGTTTTGAAGGCCTAGGAAATCATCGTCAAACGAACATTTAAGCGAACTACTTATAATGTATAAATATATCCGAACATCGGCCGAACATGCAGAGAAAAGTGGGAGAGAGGGGAAGGGAGGGGAGGATAGGAGATTCAAAGTCAACTAAAACGTCATTATTGATAATACCAAGACAAATAGATTTTTTTAGATGAAAAATACAGTTATGGGGTCATTACAAACAATAATTATTACAAATTTTACGAAATGGATGACAAAAACAGGTTGTATGTATAATATATAATTATGTAGGCCTCCGAGTCTGTAATTATGACACTGCGTCAAGGGCGTGGCACCTTACGCTTAAAGAACATACTTTCTTCATCTTTATAAAAAAAAAAAAACGTTGAATAAAAAAATAGATCATTTTAGCAGTGTTTTTCAAAAAGGCGGCCCCCGTACTCCTTCATTTTAGTCTTCTAATTATTTCTTCACTACTTCTCTACCATTCCGTGTTCCAATTTTCTCTTCTTTTTTTTTATATGATAATAATTAGGCCTACTATGTTATCATTTTTTATCAGTGAAGACGTCTATTTTGTGATTGAATTCAAGTCGATTGGTCTTCATCTATAATTTGATTGGTGTTGACCTAGGCTATTTTTATATAATTATTTCGTGTGTTCACTGAAATTTTAAAGCTATCATTGATAAAATATCAAATAAAACTATTTTTACTTCTTTTTAATCAAGAATTATTTATTTTGTCTCTCACACACAAAGTGAAACAAGGACCTACAACAGCTGCGTGTAGACCTATCCTGGGGGGGGGGGGTACTCACATATTAAGACATACGGGGGGTGTCGCTCCAATGGGTAACTTTTTCACAAAAAATCCCTAAAACATGGGTACCATTTTTAACAAAAATTGGTCCACTTTTTCAAAATTTTGAAAAATAGGCTCAAATTTACTTCGAAAAAAAATCCGGCAAAATGACATTTAAGATGGGTAGGGTTTCGAGGCTTCAGCGGCACACCCCCGTCAAAACGAAATCAATACCCCCCCCCCCCCCGAGACCTATACACTGTATTGGGCTTGACTCGAACGAATGTATAAATTATAATGTCGAATGTCAAAGGCCGATAAATCAACTTTCACATGACATACTCTGTCGCTCACTCATATAGTTGGAATATTTTTTGTTTTACCCCAATTTATAGAATTATATTTAAAATAATTTAAAAATAATAGATCTAGATAATAGTATACATTCTCAGATTTTATTGAATACTAATTTTCCATTGTGTGTTTTGCGTGACTGCTAAAGCATATGTATGCTACTATGCTTATCAACTAGGGGACCTACGCCCTTAAGTCATAAATGACAGTAATGAGGATTAATGCCCCACAAAAGGGCACTAATATAGCAAATCGACACGGTTTTGATCCTGGGGCCTCACAGTTACGAGGCCATTGCTTTGTCACTGAACCATGACTGTACGCAGCGGGGGCTAGGGTAGAGGGCAGTTTCCATAAATATAATTAAAAAACAGAAAATGCAATAAATTTTAAATAATTTATTGCATTTTACCCCGGTCCCCAACATTAAAAATCCTCTGTGTGCCCATGCCTTGAGCCATAATACATGGCCGTCCAGAGGATTTTTTTTATGCTATCAAGCAAATAGAGATTTAATTTAACCTCAACAAAAATAAACTACCCCTTTTTAACTCAGACAAGCGCACCTTTAATTTTAACACGTGCCCCTTTTCCTTTCTAATCAGTGCCCCTTTTCCTTGTGATAAGTGCTCCATTAAAAAAATAAGAGCGCCCTCCCCTTCTCATTAATGCCCCTTGTCACCTATGAAAATTGTCCCCTTTCCCTTTAGATAAGTGCCCCCTTCACCTCCAATAAATACTCTTTTTATCTCTGATGAGTGCCCCCTTTCACCTCTAATAACCGCCCCTTCATCCATGATGACTGCCTCTTTCCAGGTGTTAGAAATACCCCACTTTCTCCTCTGATAATTGACCTTTTTACTTTGACACGTGCTCCTTTTCTTTTGTAATAAGTGTCTTAATTTATCCCTTTCGATAAGTGTCTCCTTTTCCTCTCATCATTAAACGTGCCTCTAGTTTAAAACGACTGAGAGGAATCTCCCCCAAAGCCCGCTCGCTACGTTCGCTCGCATTTATAAATGATATACTTATCAAAGGTCATTTCAGTCTTCCGTTATGAAAATGTGCTTATAACTCCATCAGGATTGTGTTTTTTCCCCTCTTTATAAGATGTAATTTCTCGCACTGCGACCTCACAAATCTTAACAAATTTCTTCGCTTGCTTCGCTCGCTCGCAGATGAATATTCAGACATCACACCCAACTGCAAGGTACAATGCTTAAGCAATATGTTGTATAATGTATAAAGAGAAACAAATATTGAAATCATCCCCGATAATGTAATCACAATGTAGGGGTAGATACCAATGTCTAAAAAACAACTGTATATTTTCACTTTAAGATTTCCCACTGTAGGTCTGGTGCCCTATTTTCCAGAGAGTGCCCCTTTTTGTTGGTGCCCCCCTCCCCCTTGGAAGTCGCTCGGCCGCCCTAGGCTTGCACAAGTGCGTTAGGGTACCCGCTGCCATTGTTAATGTCATCATTCAAGCATCGTTGTCTACTGCGTTTATGTTCTCAGTTTGTATCTCGAGTTCTATCGAAGCAAGCTTTATCTGATATTTTATATTCTGTTATTAGTAGCCGTTTAAACTAGTCTCAGTCGTATTTAGTTTGGTTGAATTTAGAGAGCCGAACGAAAAGACGTTCCTGTCCTTCCATCTTTACTGACAGATTTCGAGGACGATCTGCCTGAAGAATACTTCCAGGAGATTGTCGACAACAGCATTATGCAGTTCAATTCCGATGTGGGCCAGAAAGAGAAGAGATAGGCCACTCATCGCTTTTTCTTGAAACGTGCCGAGGGTATCTCCAAACTCTTCAGTCACACCAATCAAGGATTCGGCAGAGCCAAGGATGTATTGGGAAGATGCCGAACTGCAACTCAGGATCATGAAGTTGTACCCCCAATCTGGTGCTGCCTGATTACAGGGACGATGATGAAGAACAAAGCAAGCGATTTCGATCTCTGTTTGGAAGTTGCTTATAGCCTTCTTTAGGAAGTGGAGATGCTATTATATGAAATCGAACTAACTTTCTGAAGGTCCAGAATGGTCTAGTAACCCAACCCTTGGTGAGATGGATCGCTTGATCGCTGGAGAATCACTTCTTAATCCATCACTAGAGGAATGATACAGGAGGATGAAAAAGCTGAATCCTAATTATATTCCACTTCCTTACGGGTGGGACGTAGATGAGGAAGCAACTGAGAAGGACAGTCTTAACTGCCTCAGTTGCTTCAGGAAATCGTTGTCGCTTTGTGAAGGTTCCAAATGGCCTATAGCACCCCAACACTTGATCAGACTGATCACTAGTCTTGATCGCCGGGAAACAACTTTGTGATCCACTAGATGAAATGGACATCAATGCTGTAAAGAGTTACGCTAAGCCATACCGAATTGTTGTGACTTATCCCGAGTTACAAGAAGAGCTGTTCGCGAGTTATTGCGAGTGCCTCTTTGAGGCAACTCACCACAACTCGCCTTAACTCGCTAATTAATGCAACTCGGCTATAAAAGCAGGGGGGTGTTTCACAAAGATCCTAAGTTGAACTTATCTCTAAGTTGACCTTAAAAATTATGAAAAGCCATTAGCATCTTTGAAAATATTTTGTAAAAGTTATTTTTGAAAGGCATTAATTGTTTATTCAAATCATTCATATTATCTATCATCAAGGAGATTTCATGTTCTGGATGTGGAATTCATAAAAAGTTTAAAATACTTGAATTTCTGCTTTTGAATATATTTCATTTTAAGACTCCAATGGCTGTCCATAATTTTTAAGTCCAACTTAGAGTTAAGTTCTACTTAGGATCTTTGTGAAACACCCCCCAGGACTCCCACTTAGCCGAGTTGTATTAGCGAGTTATTCTGAGTTGCCTCAAAGGGGAACTCGCATTAACTCCCAAACCGATCTTCTTGTAACTCGGGATAACTCGCAACAACTCGGTATGGCTTAGCCTAACTCTTTACAACCGTGATTCCACGACTCTCCTCGAAGCCGCAAGCAGTTCCAAAATTGTGAACATGAGGAGTGCAGCGCGAGCTTGTTACGAGTAATGCGAGTATATTACGATTGTAAACGAGTTCACCTCGAGTAACAACGAAGTCACCTCGAGTAACAACGAATCAGTGATAATTTTGAACATGTTCAAAATTTTCGCTGATACGTTGTAACTCGAGGTGAACTTGCTTATCACTCGTAATATACTCGCATTACTCGTAACAAGCTCGCGCTGCACTCTTCATAACTCGTAGAAACTCGCGACTTTGCTCGCGATCGACTTCAAGGAGAGTCGTGGAATGTTGTAAAGAGTTACGCCGAGCCATACCGAGTTGTCGCGAGTTATCCCGAGTTACAAGAAGAGCTTTCGCGAGTTATTGCGAGTGCCTCTTAGAGGCAACTCACCACAACTCACCACGACTCGCCTTTAATAACTCGCTGACAACTCGGCTAACTGGGAGCCCTGCTTAAGAGGGAGCCTTGTTTTAGAACGTTCCTATGGAGGCCTCCGCCAACTGATAACAGTAAGTGAAACAACTCTGATTTTTGAAATAAAAACGGATATTTGCTTGGCTATATAATATGTTTTCGTCCATTGTTGATTCGTTTTGCTTCCAAGTTCAATTTCATCATGAGAAGTCTTTATAACTGATCATCCTAAAACAATTAGTTTTTTTAAGAGTCATTTGGCATTAGTG